ATTAGTTCACAGCAATAATTAATCTTTTATATTAGCAATTAAAATTTCATAATTAAATTTAAAATTTATATTAGCTTTATACAAATAGAGAATATTTGTTAAATTCAAATATATATATATATATACCATTTTCTAATGTAATAAAGATAACTATTTTATTCATTTAAAAATTTATATTATACGCATTCAAATTCTACGTCTGAAATGTTGCTACACTCTTCCTGTAACAGATATCGAAAATGCCAAGACCTTCACCTATTCATTTAGAATCTCATTCAAGTATCTAGTATCAGAGATTAATTTATATTTGGCGTATTTCTCGGTTAAGAGAATTTGAATGGTGGACCTGAACGTGACTTTTGAATGAATCTTTAATTATAAAGTTCAACTCACTGGCATTTAAATTCGCTTGTTAATGCAAAAGAGATATCGCAAATCGGCATCTCTTGATTGGATTGTCACATTTTAGCCCTATATTCCACATTACGGCCCATCGTTTCACACTCCGAGTCCAAATGATCAGATTGCTTAATCGTAAGCTTCTGAATTATTTATTTCATATGATTTCAACACCTGCATAAATTAAAATTTGCGTATCAAATAATAGTGTCTTCTTTAAGTTGTACGTCAATTATTCCAAGAATGAATTAAATCCATGTTGTTCCTATCTAATATCTATACGTTTCAAGGATTTTTTTTTTTTTTCAAAATCTAGTTTCCGAAACGAAAATATATTTTACAGCCATGTATTTTAAAGTAATTAAGATATTTACTTATTATACAGCTTATTAGCTGATAAGTGAATACTACGTACATCCAGACAACAATATTTCTAAGGTGCAGTTATAAAACAATTTATCATTACAAACTAACTTAACAGAAAAAAAGTTAGTACAAAAATTGCGGTTACAAATTAGTTTACCAAGGGAGGCTGAAAAGTAAGTTTAATATTTTTTAAGATAAAAGTAGTACAGTGTAAAGTAATAATTTATTTTTATTCACCAGTTATTTTTATGTTCAGTAGCTTTTCTGTTATGCTTTCTTTCCGTTTTCCTGCCAGAATGCAAATTTTAGTTCGCGGATATTCAGATGTGGTGGAAAGAGATAATATTTAAGGAATGATTTAGATTGTTGAATCAGAGTGCGTTTTAACTGCTGAAGACAACATTACTGGTTGAATCTCTTGATAGCATCCTGTCAGCGGCATTGCGTTTATTCTCGCATTTAGGCTTTCATGCCGATATTGGGTTTGGACCAACTTACGCGTATTCTCTCTGCTAAATTTATCATTTACTTTAAAACGCGCCTAAACTTATGATTTACTTAGTTTAATAATTTTATTATAATAATTTTATAATAATTCTTGCATAAATCTTGCTAATCGCTGTTTTTTCCTTTTTTGGCTTACTGGCCCATTCGAGTTTCTTCCGTGCCCCTCTATCCTTACCAAAATAATGTATTAAAAATCCTTCAATGTGATCTGTAGATGCTAAATGAATGCGCATTGAAATATTTAGATAATTATTACATTTGCATTCCATGGAATTATTAATTAGGATTCGTCATTGCGTACCGATATGGAATGGTAACGATTAAAGATTCCTGAAAACGTTTATAGTAACCTAACGAAACTTGTGCACATTCCTGTCACGCGGCGTACAATGATGGATGTTGAAAAAACATGCTATTTGGGCATTTTGGATACCAGTATCAGTATGGATTTGAGGTCACAGTTTTAGAATTCGAAACTGATAGATTGTAACTTGCGTTCCTTGGAATAAAAAGAAACAAATCCACGTACTGCTTGTACTAACATGTGTAAAGGATCGACTGACGCGATTCGGTATTGCAAAGAAGATTGACTACAATTATTTGCATAATGTCTTGAACTGCTTAAGCCTCCGATTCTCGAACGAGACGAATGGGTGTGACTAAGTCTCTGTGGAGTGCCTTGCATGGGAATAAGAACGGAATAATTAGAAAGCAAAGAATAAATCCAATTTAAAGTTGCGTACATATTTTGAAACTTGATGATAAGATTAAACGGAATTAAGTAATAAATGAATAATATTAAATATTTATAATAAATTAATAATATTAATTATATACTTTTGCGCAGAAATGAGCAGTAAAATTAACAAAATAAATCAATCCATGAAATTTATTAATTAAATACTTCACTTTGCACAGTGTTTTGGTTAAAAGCATTGTTAAATTATGTTCAACATTTTTAAGCATTAATATGATCAGTTGCGTGCGTTCGCGCCACACACCTATTTGTCTCGACACACTGTAAAATGTTTAAATGTTAGTTGGAAAATATTTAGGCAACCAAATTTCCTAGAAATGTGCTTATTGCCATTTGCTTCTCAATGTCCCGTTATTTAGAAGATCTCCCCGGATTTTCTGACGGCCGCTTAGAAATTCTAAATGTTTACTGGTGGACGGTATTTTTCTCCATGGAAAACTATGATTTAAAGTTTAAAACACAGTTTTAAGTACAGATCTTTAATGTCACTTATCATCAAAGAAATAATTTTATCATACCTCATCATACTCAGGAAATTAGAGTTCCGTGGGTTTCATTTATAGATCAGCTCAAAAACCTAATTTACATTTATTAAAATTTCAACTTTATTAAAATTTCCACTAGTAATGGAAGTTTCAATAAAAGATTTTCCTAAATTCACAACTATATCAATTTTATCTCCATTTTTAAAATATTCCTTATGATATCACTGTCAAATCCCATTCTTATATATTATTTGTAATGGGAATGTTATTAGATAATTATCTAAATTCCTAGCTATTATTATCATTTTTTATCCCAAATGGGCGTTAGCCCAGAAAGGTATTAGTTTCGAAACGGCGTATTGCGATTTTTTTTAAATTGTTGCCACCAAATATTACCCCCCTGTATTATATTTCAAAAAACTAAATAATGAAGAATCCATGTATGTATGTTTCTTTCATTGTGAAAAATCAGCGGTACCTACAGTCATCAAATTTTGGATAACATAGTCCTCCATCCGAATTTGGGCCCGTATTTGGAATTTCGAATTAGTTTTATGGCTATTTCATATTTTGTAAAACTTTAATGAATTTGTAATTAAAAGACTCAACAATTTCAAAGCGAACAATGGCAATACTATAGGGAATAAAATATAAAAAAATATAAAATAAATATAAAATAAATGCAAATTATTTAAAGGTAAATTTGCACACACACACACACAAAAAAAAAAAAAAAAAAAAAAAAAAAAAAAAAAAAAACGACCTATATCTTCCATTCTACTGGACTTCCTGAAGAAATTGAACTTGCATTTTTCATGTCTCAAAAGCACGGCTTGTGATATACAGTAGTCATGTATAACATTGCTCTAACAAAGGAATTCTAACACAAAATTTAACTTTTCTGAAATGACGTTCCCCCCCCCCCATTTTTAATATTTTGCTTCGTTCACCGAAGCTTCTGCATTTGGACAATCTGCAGGTAAAGTTATGACTTAAACGTTTTTCAGCAGATCTAAGTTTATGACTTTGTTTGCAGGTAATTCATTTTTAGTTATATTAAAGTAAAAAATCAATTTTTTTCCTTGCTTCTGTGCAATTTAACATGAACGAACAAACTGCAAACACTAATGTGAAAAAAATAGTCTCTCTCTCCAAAATTCAGTTAGAATACTGCAGATTTTATATAAAATTGTATTTGTAACCCACCCCCTCAAATTTTCCAACACGCACGTGCCACTCAACACTTTCCACGTGCTACACTTCTGAGCGCTTTCTAGTTGTCCGTATCGCCCACGTTCAGAAACTGTAATGAAAATGTTTAAAGAAACATGCCTACTGGTTCCCATCGACGAGGAGACGTATAACTGAGTGTTTGGTTTTCTTCGAATCTTTTCGTTTTAAACTGAAGGAAAGAAAACAAAACGACAAAACTGCCTTAGGACAAATCTGGAGTTATATCTGCTCAGTAAATTTAAACTATTCTTATTGTTGTAGTTGCTACGTAAAGCTTTAATTCATTTCGATGAATATTTTCATTATATACGATTAAAAATAAAATATCATTAAATAAGAATCATGAATATAATTCATCAAATATTCCTGCCTTATTTCGTATCATATATTTCAATTTAGAGTCACTATTAATTATCAAACTTTCAGCATAATTAGCTGGAATGCAGCATAATTAGCTGGAAACCTTTAATATATTATGCGAAAGAGATAATTTCCAGTTTACATATTTGGGAAAACGTTATTTTAGTTTAAACAAATTTTTAATTATACACGTACAGTTCACAAAAGCTTTTGAAAGTAGCAATCATATACTTGTTAAGGCTGCAAAAGTAATTCAAGTTAATTAATATGGAAATAAATTTAAAATGTTATGGACGCTAAGGTTTTCTGACATCGCGAATTTCGTTCTGAAGTTGGAAACACTTCGAGTTAGCAATAAGAAGATCCGTAGTTGAGATCCTGACTAGCGTAGTGCTGATTTCTTACGTTTACCGTACTGTAATGATTTCTGCAAGTGGCGCCCGAACTATATAAGGTGGTGGATAATAATTCATTGCCGCAAACATCTGGCGATAGGGTTCTATTCTCTCCAGTTACCCTTTAACACAGAGAGAGTATGTAAGGTATTTTACCCTTCTTACCACATGCCTTCGTGGTGTAAATGTATTTCACGTCCTGGTAGTAATCAGCAAGTAGATCAACAGGTTAAAGCAAATAGATTAGACATTTTTAGTTTAAATAATGCCATAAAATATTTTAGTTTAAACAAAAGAGACAATCAAGAGATGTCTAGAACATTTGTAGCAAATAAATATTTTCTTTTCAGACTGAATCATTTAAGTACTTTGGAATAATTGAATAATTTCTTTTGTATTCTTTTGATATTCTTTGCCTTTAAAATTTTTTCCGAATAAACTTGCATAAACATTAAACGTTTGCAACTAAAGTACTCAAATTATTTTATACGTTTGCAGGCGTTCTGCCACTGGTGAAGGAGTGTTCCAGTTTCGAACACAAAAGGGAGCCGAAATAATACGAGAGTTAAAATCCATCGTTGAACTATGGTCAGCTCGGAAAGCTGTTCTTTCCATCCAACAATCATCTATGAAGCATGAATCTTTCAGAACTTCATCACCTAAGAGTGCTCATACAAGAGGTAGATCTTGGAATTTTACAGGTAATTCAATACAGTACCATTTTAATTGATTCTGATTAATATTTGCATCATAGATTTTAAATAAAGCAGTACTAGCCATTTGCATTAGAATGCCTTGATATCATGTGTTTGCTTATTTTATTCATTTTTTTACAAAATTATAATTTTGAATACTAGATAAAAATTTTCAAATAGAATGAAAAATCTCAAAATTTCTTGATTTCGATAGTTTTCTAGAGGCATTCTTAGAAAAAGCATTGAATTCATTAGTTAATATTGCTTCTCTTTCCCTTTAGTGAAGCTGGACAAAAATTAGTACGTCCAATATACGGAAAAATGTATTGGTCGTAGGAAAAATAAATATTATTATTATCATTTTATTATTATTATTTTATTCGAATATTATATTTAATAAAAATAAATATATTTGGTGTCTCTAAACCGAATATAGAGAATTATATGCAAATTTTTACTCAATAATGGACAAAAGATAGGCCTGTTCAAGCATGTCATATTTAGATTCTTGAAATTAAATTGCACTAACTATCCTGCTGCATCCTATCTTTTAATTGCTTGTATATATTGTCATTTGAACCTCCAGAAGAATTTACTGCTTAAGATATTTCTCTTGAAAATTTTCTCGACTTTTGGAAATTCAAACTGCAAAAGAAAATGTGACACTATTAAGCACTGCTATGCTTTTGGCAAAAGATCAATTTGTCATATTAAAATGTAATTTTAAAAGTACGCATTTTTAGAAGATGATTTAAAATTTTTTCTAATGACTAACGAAAATCCATGACATAATTTAGACTTATACATTTTGATGATTTACCAAAAATGTGTTAATTCATTATATTCAGTATTTTTTACTTTATATCCAGGAGTTTGTTTAAAACTTCTGCAATGCATTTAATATTTTTACTAAAGGTTATTATTTAATATTTCTCAAAATTTCACATTTCAGGCAGATCAGCACCTTGCACTCCAAGTCTTGCATTTCCTCACACTTGGCATCAAAGGAGATCAAGTCCAGGTCCCAGCAAAAAGCAACTATCTGAAATCAGCCGTTCTGCTCATAATTCAGATATTTTAAAACCCCAAAGGCAGGAACCAACAAATGAAGACCAGCAAATCCATTACATTGTACCTTGTTTTGAGGAATCTCCTAAAGCTGAAACTCAAGATACAGCTAAAAGTCCAAAAACTTCCAAAAATAAAAAGCCGGTAAAGCAGTTTTCACATTATTAATTGCATGTATGAAATTAACGTCATATTATAAGTTATGAAGAAATAGCATTGCATATTTTAAGCATGTGACCAAATTTTCTGCCGTTTAGGAGATTTTTAACTCTTGTAATTCTGATAGTTCTGTATCTGCTGACCTCAGATTCCGTTTTTCCCAAATACCTGAATACTCGAATTTACAAACTACTGCTGCGTCTCAAGTAGTTAGCTTCTCCGATTCTTTACACACGCCTTTGTTCACAACGCAAAGGGAAATGATGATGTTCGTCTTCTCCTCATTTGTATACCCATTCATTCTAAGTCGCCGATGCCGGTGCATGAAATATGAAACTGACGATTTAAACGGGAGTATCAAATGGTAGCGCAATGGGTCCGTATTAGTGAAATTTAATTCACTGAAGAGGCATGATGTAGTTAAGTCTGGAGCTGAGGTCCTTTTCAGGGGATGTTAGAAGAGGGAAAAGGAGTAAAACTTGTCTCTTATCTAAAAGTTATATGAAGGGTTCAAGATAACGATATTATGAATTAAAAATATCGAACTATAAAATTCATCAGCAAAAAAGCAATAACATGCCGCAGCTGGAGAGCACATAAAAACGAAATATGTTGAAGAAAGAAAAATACGAATACAAAAGGGATGTCAAAATGTATGAGAAATATTACGGCTTTGCGCGCTCCAAATGTTCTGTATAGCTTTTGGTTTGTGAAAAAAAGAAATGATCATCCAGTGCTTAACCGTTTAACCTGTGACTGTGTCTTCTCTAGTGAAAAATATTTATGCAGGTGTTTTCTATTAGCTTTTAAAAATTATACCATAAGTTTTCAAACACCTTATACGGTAAACACCATATAAAACGTAAATATGACTATGGTTCGTCATTTCTTTTATTTAATTAAACCTTATTAATATACATTTTACAAGTAAATGTAAAATATTTATTTTGATATTATATTATAATAATATAATATACAATAATTTATTTGTTAATTATATGCCCATATGCATTTGCAGTTTAATATTCATATAATGGCAATTTCATAACAGAATAATGGCATTGCTTGCAATAATACTAGGGTCTAGAAAATCTGATTCCATTTTATTTTATTTATTCGATTATGGCAAAGCATTGGAGAGCTATCTGCCTAGAGGCCTAGATGGAAGTTTAAGCTTTATTTGATAGTGCAAGAGACTCTGTGGTTTACCGGAACGATGGAAGGTTTTAGCGGGATATCAAAAAACTTGGAAATCATCAAGCATTTTTTGTTAGGCCTTTAGTTTTCTTTCATTAATTATTTAATAATAAGGAGCTAGGAGGTAACGCTGCAAAAGAACCTGTCAAAGTAGCCAAATATTAAATAAAAGAGATATTAGCAAGAGGATTTGCCATAAAGTACAACTTGAATACTTTCGAAGTATAACACCAGTACATAAAATACAATAGGCAATAGTGTTTTCGAAAGTCATTTCCTTAAAGATGCTTAGTTTAGCGTTCTTAACTTTTTTTAAGATCCGATTCATGTGCAGACGGTTGAAATTTATCGTACCCTAGATGCATATAATTGGAATTTATAACGAACCACATAGACGAAGTTGCTGTGAATAAAAGAAAGAAAAATAAAGATTCCTGTTACTATATAGTAACTATATAGTATATAATTAAGTAATGATAAATAAACTTGAAAAATCATTAATTGTCGATCACAAAGAGTGTACAGTTAAGTAATCGTATATATTATTGCACACTAAGCAAAAGAGTACTTCAAAGACTTTCAAGATGCATTAACAATGAGATTCCTGTCCAATGATGGGTCGCTACGGTAATTTGAAAGTTTAATCTTTTACATTTGAGAAATGCACCAGAATTTCTTGAAATTCTGGTGCATTTCTCAAATGTAAAATAGAAGGATAACTATTTTACATTTGAGTAAGATTACTATTTTCAAATGTAATGTAAAATAGTAAGATTACTATTTTCTAAATGTAAAATAGTAAGATTACTATTTTCAAATGTAAAATAGTAAGATAATAAATGTTAAGTTAGGTTTATCTTTTGATTCTGAGGAATGCATTTCGACAATTTCATCTTTTACTTTTATGTCTAACATTTGAGGAATACAAATTTCAGCTTTTATTTACATCTGAGGTTCTTTAGATGCATTAAAATATTATAATTTATTATTTTTAATTTATTATTCTATTTAAAAATATTCTTATTTTCCTAAATCTTCAGCTGAGAGATTGTTCATTTTTATTACATATGGCGTAGACTTCAGGGACTGGCTGTAATCCACCCTCTCTATTTAAGGTAAATTCTACATAGGAAACCAACCACATGCAACTTGCAGCTGTATGTTCAGTCAGATTTAGACAGCTGTTTTTCAGAATTTAATATGTTTTAATAATTTCTCTCCATTTTTTCCTATTTTCGAAAATTGAAACTGAGTTAAGCTAGGAAATTAGGAAAAATGGAGATAATTTATTTCTGTAAGTCTCAGTCATCTAAGACTCACCATTATCAACTCGTGGTTTTCATGGAGATAAAATATATTCACATTATATGTTTACTTATGTGAAAATCTGATTATAAGGACGAAGGAAACGTGTATATACAGCAATTATAAAGCAGGAGGTACAATTAAAAATACATCTTCGTTAAGATGTGCATCAACACTTCTTTTTTGTTAGCATTCTAAAAAGTTATTAAAAAATATTATTTGTTGGATTACTGCCGAACTTGCTGAGGTCAGTTTCGTTAAAATGTCTCAAAGGAATTTAAATTAAATATAATTAATTCGTCTTAAGAATATGAAAGCTAATTTGTAACGCAGAAGAAATTATGTTTCCCTGAAAGGCAAAGTGATCTAAGATCTACTACTTCGTATGAATAAAACTCATGAGTGTAAAAATTTCCAGAAGAATGAATAAAGGAGACGGTGACAGTTAGTTAGGTTAATGATATCGAACCTGACAACAGCTACTAAGATGTAGTTGTTAAATAAGTTTCCTGGGCTCTGAAAGAGAGGTCTGTAAGCGAGATCTACAGTTTCTGTCCTTCTAAATTTCTCTTGCAAAGGATATTTAAGGACACACTTTCAAATTCAAAGGATCATAATTGACAAGGACAAATTGAAAATTGGTCCAAGATAAAATGAAAAAGCCAGCGTTCGCCGATCTATTATGCAAATGCTCTGTTCGTGCATAAGTGGCAGCGCAATCGAAATTCTGATTCTCAGCATACTTTCCTCAGTACAGAAACTAGGCCTCAAGACATTATATTAGATTAAATTAGCTAGTACATGAAAAATGAGTTTATTTTGTAGTTAATGGCTTGCATATCTAGAGAAATCATTACAAATATCTGCATTAAAGTTTCTTTTCTCAAAATATGAGATTCCATTTTCCCAAGATACCGGATGTTTTCATTGTTTTTCATTTCCAGGAAATATTTTATTAATAGGATGGTTCCGAGAACAATTAATTTGCTTTGATTTAATGCACACTGCGCAAAAAAATTGGCATTTCTATATCTTCCGTTCTACTGGGTCGATTGACGAAATTCTAATTGCGTTCTTCATGTCTCGAAAGCACTACTTAAGATATATATTAGATTTATATATAGCACTATTCTAACATAAGTAGACACAAAATCGGGCGTTTTCTGAAATAACATACCAAATTTGTTTACATATTTCGGTTCAGAAGACTCAAATTATGCCAGACTGCCCAGTTTTGTAAAAATCGCATGAGTAGTTTTTAAAAGAAAATCAACTTTCAAAATTTTAGTTCCTCAATGTTAATTGAATTTGGTATATATTTATTAATATCTCGTTTTTATGAAACGCTCTTGATTCTTCCTTTCGCATTTAGAAATTTAAGTTCATTCCAAATAAAACTCACCCATTCTTTAGGATTTATTTTTTAAATTTGTATTTTTAAATAATTTTTATAAATTTTTCGAAGAATTTTTTTTTTAATTACAGATAATAATATTATTCAAATTTTGAACTTTTTTTAAAAATTTCTTTCTTTTTTTTAAATATTTGTAAGAGTAAATTTTTACCTACACCGTGTTATCGTCTGCTACTTTACTTTAACTTTAAATTGAATTGTCTGAAACTGAAAAAGTTCGTCTGATGTTTATTTCCACAATGTTTTTAAGCAAACAGGACGTTGACAATTTGGGTCATGTCCCAGCTTTAAAAAATATATATAAAAATATAAATTTGTACATTAATCCTCATAGAAAGAATGTTTTAAGTAGTAATTTTCACTCGTGTTGTAGATTATATAAAACACGTTAGTCTTAAATACTCTAAATAGTATGATTTAGATTGTTTGCGCCTGATATAAGCTTCGAGCCACTGCGTGGACTCCGCTGCTGGAGTGGTTTATTTCTTTATCATTTAACAAAAATATTTTAATTCAAATATTTATCCTTTGGACTTTGCTTTAAACTTTATTTATAGTTAAATTGTCTAGAAAATGAAATGCTATCTTCAGCTGAAACGCATTCGATGCAGCGGATATTTAAAAAATAATTGACAAGAATGTCAAATTTATGAATTAAAATCGAAAAATCTTAATATTCTTGTCTGAGCACTGAAAACAAATGTAGAAGAATAGAAGGAAATTAGGGAGAAAAAGCAAATATTTAAAGGGGAATCTACTTCAAAGAAGTAGTTTGTTCAAAACGAAAACACTTGGACGTGCACACCAGCAAATAGCAGCAATTGAGTTATTACTAAAAGACAAAAACATATCATTACAGATTAAATTGAAGAACCACTGGTTTTCGATTATGTGGTTGTATAAATTTCAATTACGTCATAGAACATCATATCGTGTCATAAACGCAACATCCCATGAATTCTCAGTCGAATTTTTTGAAGATTCAGGAATTGATCCAGTGACATTATAGGGTATTACTCCCGCCTTCTTAGCGTGCCTTCGTGGTGTAATGGTCTGCACGCACGGTGTG